GTATATAAGAATAAAATATATTTGTATTGTATATTGTATTTATAAATGTTAACAAAAATAACAGTTATAAAATATAAAAACGTTAGATATTTGTAGAACAAGCTATCTTTGTAAAAGAAAACTCGGTCCAACTTACATCTATTACGACGACATGAAAGAACGGTCTGTTAGCGCAACCATAACGAGCGAACCGTATTGCTTTGGTGAAGGGCGTAACAATACCCGATCCCGACGCAGGATGCATAGGTAGACGAGGCATGATTTGATAGTGTATCAAAACCAATTATTGATATTTTAACCAATTGTTCGCACAACTATGCTTTCTCCTTTATACAAAATATATTTCCATCGGATACAAATATTCTTAGGTACCAGCACTGACACCAACATTTCTCATCACCGGGAGGAACAAAAACTTACAACCTTATTTTGCACAATTTACCAACTGCAGATTCTCCACGTTGGTTTGGATTTCGTCACAAAATGGCCACTACGTCAGATCCATAGACTTACATATATAGGCTGCGGTCCGTTTCATGCTGAAGCGCGCATTTATCTATAGTATACGTGACATATACTACAGATAAATGCGCGATTAAGCATGAGAAACGATATAGGCTGCGTTCCGAGTTACGCTATATGCGCGCATTTATCTATATTATACGTGACGTGTACTATAGATAAATGCGTAACTCGAAACCATAAGCTGTGTTCCAGAATTGCTGCCAGTGCTAAAATTGTATAATATATGTGACGTAAACAATAGATCTTTAGCGCTGGCAGTGAATTTTGGAACATAGCCATAATAGACCACTCTTACCAATCAACGTAGGCTGCGGTCCGTTTCATGCTTAATCGCGCATTTATCTATAATATATGTCACGTATACTATAGATAAATGTGCGCTTGAGCATGAAACGGACCGCAGCCGTAAATTATCTTCTCTCCTGCGTGACGTCACGTTCCACGGCAGCGCAGGGGGTACGTTCCAAAATTTTACCGAAAACTATAGTACACGTGACGTAAAATATAGCATTTTGTTTATCATTGATATAAAAATTATTCTAACATAACAGAGGGGATGTACAACAAATAACAATTACGAATAAAAAATAAGGATAGAAAATTTTTGTAGACAGATAATATTCGCGATCTTATACGAGAAAAGTTGGTTTTTTTGCGTCATAGAAAACACTCGGTTACAGAACAAAAATTAAAAAATGGTAGAAAATAATTTATTGCAAGATAATACAGTAATTACGTAATTGTAATAATAGTGCACAATACTAGATTACGATCGAGGATAATGGAGGAAAAGGATTTTGTTTAGATATAACCAATTTTTTATGTTGATAAGATATGTAGCCTTTGATTTTGCCTTCGTAAATCAAATTTGCAAGAATGCATTCCGTCTCGTCCATATCTATACCATCCATCCCGTACATTTGCAACGCAACCAGAAGACTCTGCACCGGTATTTGATGTGTATTCAACGCCAAGTATACTTTTTTGAATAAATTTCTATAGGCGATGAGTTTGAGTTTTTCCACAATCAAATAAATGCCGGCGTCTATGAAAAAAGTTTCGTGTTTCGCCATCACGCTCTCTAAGGAGCGTAAGTCTCCTTTTCTCACGGATTCCGTTAGCTCCCAAAATTCCATTAAATTGTATTTCTCGAGAAGGTTCCGTTTCGGCATATATCCCAGCAACATCTTCACAGGCACAAGATACGTTAGGATTAATCTCTTATTTTTTTTACATTGAATGTGACAACGCTCGAAGGCGTAAGTCAAGTATTCATCAGCTGAAACAACAATTCGGCAACAATTTACTTTTAGAGTTAAATACAAACCTATGCAGCGCGCGCAAAAAAGAATTATAACACAAGAGCGCATTATACCTGTTTTGTAATCGCTGTCAAACATGTTTTTTCGCCCTACAAAAAACTTGTAAGTTATTTGTTGCGCCAATGCAAACTGATCCTTATAAGGGGAGGATTCTATAGCCCGTATTAACGGTTTGCACAGGTGCAATTTATTAATTCTAAAATATACTTTCAGCAATTGATTGATCAGAGCTAGCATTCCCCATCGTTTGGTGTCTTCCTCCGAGCTTCTGCTGTCAGCCGCGCAAACCCGGAAGCAAGCCATCAGACACTCGGCACACTTCTCCAAAACTTCGCCGGGTTTTAGATTTTTATTGTTCTTGGAATTTTCCGCACTTATTGCCGATAATCTCAGCTCCAAACACATTGTGTTCATTACCGGCAACATCCAGTTTTCTTCCTTTTGCATTTGAAGAATCTTGGCGAGACATTGCACGGCTGAACTTTGATAATTGTACATAGAAAAGGGGTCGCTCTTATTCATGGCGGAAACAGCTCTGAAAAAAAAAGAATAATAATAAAATTGTCAGATACTATTAAACACACATAGTCACTTTCTGATGCAGAAATAAGAAAAAGTGTATTCTTACTTTAAGTGACAAAGTACCAGGTCATCTAACGGTGCTGTCAAATGTTCCATAGCTTTAGTCATAGCGCTTTCCGATCCAATTTGAGGTATCAAAACATGATTGTGTCTCAGTGACAGAAGATCCTTCAAAGAATAAGATTTTATATATAAATTCACATGTGCGATAATATTTAATTTTTTGTTTTAAGAATTTTATGATCACACCTACCGCCAACGCGTCTCCATCCTGATTGAGCCATATTCGCCGAATCTATTTAATATGTAAATAAGAAAAAAATATAAAATATAACAACACACACACAGATGTGAAGAAAAAGAATTTAGATTTGCTCTTGTTGCTATTTTACCTGCATTATATAAGAATCCATTTCGATCATAATTAATTAGAAGCACATCCACAAAAAGCGATTGAACCGTCAAGGTTTATGAAAAAAAAGCCATCTCTCGCGATTTTTTAAAATTTACTAACCTAGAAACACACTGTATACATCACAAAATAATACAGTACAGTGACATATGGGGAGGAGTGGGGGGTATACGTGCAGTATTAAGGCCTGTCTACATAAAACGCAGACGCGGATCGCGGATAGATCTCGCGGAATCGACTAATCACGTTGTGGTCAAATCGGCCAATGTGATTAGTCGATTCTGTGAGACCTGCCACCTCGCGTCTCATGTAAATGGGGCTTTATTTCCAGTTTCTATCATCACAAAAGCCTGTTCTACATTGATCGCAAGCGCAAACGCAAGGAACAGATCTGGTAGAATTGACCAATCGTATTGATCACATCAGCCAATTGACGAGCGTGATTGGTCAATTCTACGAAATCTATACCTTGCGTTTGCGCTTGCGATCAATGGGTGCGTTCAGACAACTCAACGGTTGAGAGATCATCACTTATGATAGGACTATTCTTCAAAATCTG